GGGTAGCCATGGCTTTCTCCATCTTCACCATCACCTTCTGCATCTTCTTAAGGTAGGATGTGCCAGCAGCTCCCTGGGGACTCATCAGGCTGGGAGAGATGTGGGGCAGTTCTGGTGCCTCTGCATGAACCTGCTGCGATACGGCATGGGGCCCCACTCCACTGTGACCCCCCACCTTTTCTGCTCCCTCCGGGGATGCTCAGGTGCAGGTTCAGGTCCGAGGAGACCCTCCGCACCAACCTGGGGCTGCACGTGAACCTCGTGGGCAGCCTGTTCCTCCTCAACCTGGCCTTCCTGCTCAACAGCGGGCTCTCCGGTGGGACCCAGCCAAGGACCTGCAAGGTCCTGGGAGGGCTCACCCACTACTGCCTGCTCTGCTGCTTCACCTGGATGGTGCTGGAGGGCTGTCACCTCTACCTCCTCTTTGTCAAGGTCCTCGGCACCTACATCCACCACTACCTGGCAAAGCTGTGCCTGGTCGGCTGGGGTGAGCACCACCAGCCTGGGCAAGAGGCGGGGGGAGAGGGGGCAGTGGGTTACAACCGGAGGGGGAAGAGGGTGATGCGGTACTGGGCAGAGAGCGAGCAAGTCCCCGTCCTGCCCGCAGCTCTTCCAAATGCCATGGTCAGGGCTAGGAAGTGCCTTATATGGGCTCGGTGCACCAAATTAAGGGCAGCACCCGCAGGCACCCTCCATCCTGCTGGGGACCAGCCTCCTGCTCATTGAGCAGGTGATGTCCTCGGGGGTCTTCGTTCCCCCGTTGCCAGCCCTCCACGGCACCTGGGGGAGCACTGGAGCAGATGATCCCGCAGAGAGGTTAGGGGACACCTCGAGTCCCTTCCCTCTCCACATCATGTCCCAGCAGCAACCGTCGTGCTCCCGGCACTTGTGCAACCTCAGTGGGTCCCTAAGCCCCATCTTCCCTGAGGTCAGCACATCCAGGGACATGCAGAGACCCCAAGCCGACGACCTCACCCGCCGCTTGCCTTTCTGGCCTCCTTCACGTGTCTCCCTTTTTCTTCCAGGCTTCCCTGCTCTCGTGGTGGGGGTGGCAGGAGTCATTGGCAGCTACGGAGAATACAGCCTCCAGACCGTGAACCACCAGGTCATAGCCCACCTGTGCGTGTGCCACTGCCCACGTGGCTTAGGTGGCCCTTTGGCACGGGGAGCGGTATCCTGGTCCTGCTGGGAGCGTGACCGTGGGGGGTTGCACCTATCCTGCTCAGCTTTACGCTGTGCTTCCACTTCCCTAATTGTGATTACAACACAGCAGCTACAGCCGTGGTAACCATCACCACCTCTCATGCCGAGACTCCTCGGTCATGCCTGCAGGCCTCCAGGTCATGGAGGGACATCCAAGGTCCACCTGGAGCTTCCCCAGGCTCCCTCCCAGCTGAGCAACACGAGGACAGCAGATCTGCACTGCTGTCGCCCCTGCTTCACCGTGGCCTTGGAAAACCCCACCAGCAGCAGAAGGGTGTCCCCGCATCCCTAAACACATCCTCCCGGGGAGGCTTCCATGGGTGCTGCTGGGGCTAGCAGAGCTGCTGGAGGCACCGCGGTTGTCTCTTTTCAGGTGCTGGATCACTTCGGAACATCTTCTGGTCCACTACATCACCAACTGCGGCTACTTCGGCCTCATCTTCCTCTTCAACATGGCCGTCTTCGGGGTGGTGACCCAGAAGAGCTGCTGCCTGCAGGGCACAGGGGCAGTGCAGGGAGACCGCAAGGCCTGGAAGGTGGCCCTGGGGGCGCTGGGGCTCTTCTGCCTGCTGGGAGCCACCTGGGCCCTGGCGTTCCTCACCCATGGCACCTCCTCTGCGCCCATGCTCTACCTCTTCACCATCCTCAACTCTCTCCAAGGTCAGGGCCGGCTCCAAGCTGGTCTCCCTGGGCTCAGGTGGGGAAGATGGAGGAGGCAGGAGCCAGCCTGGCAGTGGGTTTACCAGGGGTCCCAAGGCACCAGCATCGTCCCAGCACTGTCATGCCCTTCCCTTTGGCAGGGCATGTCAAGCAGCAGGTCCCAGCCACTGGCACGGAGCTGGTCACGGCTCCCAACCACGTCCACTCCACCGGGGGTGGTTTTCCTCCAAGGAAGCCATTCTTTAGCAGAGGAACAGGGACATTATCCACCCAGGGCATGTCCCAGCTAAATGGTTCACCTGAAGCACGGGGAGACCCTCCTGCAGGAGCAGGAGTGAGCTGGGGGAACCCCCTGGAAGCGGCAGGGAAGTGCTGGCAGCATCCCGGCAGGATGCTTCCCACCATCTCCTGCTGCCGCTGCTGAGTGTCTGCCTTCCTTTCCCTGCAGGAATCTTCATATTCATCTGGCTGGTCTTCCTCTACTACCCAAAGACGAAGGAGACTGCTGGCTCCCTCTCCCAGGTCATCAGACATGACAAAACCATCACAGTCTCCCAGGACTAGCTGCTGGCTAGGCCTCCCTCCCTGCCTGCGTGTGCACCCGCTGAGAGCAAGCTTCGATCCCAATGGATACAGCTTCCCCATGGAGGACAAGGGCTAAGTTTGCCGTGCCTCAGTTTACCCTTCCGTGGACATGATCCACCTTAGCAGGGCTCTTTGCTTCGGCGCTTTTGTTCCTAGTGGCCTGCCTTGGGCAAGGAGCTCTGGAGATGTCCCTTCTGCCAAAGTCCCTCCAGGCTGCAGCTCCCGCATGGTCTTGAAGTGCCCCTGATCTCATTCCCCAGGGGCTCTTGCAGGAGCAAGGAGGGAGCCCACGAACCGCCTGCCTTCAGTCAGGATGGAGCCATCCCCTTCTTCACTAGAGATGGCCTTTGGTGCTGGACCAGCCTGGCGGTGGGTTTTCCTGCTGTTGGAGGTGGGAGGATTGACTCACTCCAGCCCAGACTCAGGAGGTTCAGGTCTGGGAATTAGCAAGAAAAGAGAAAACTACAAGCTTCTTTGCAATATGCCCTCTCCAAACGGACCAGGGCTGAGCTCTTGGGGCAGGCATCTGCTGTATGTCCCTCCTGCAAAACACCTTCTGGGGCCAGCAATGATTTCCGCGAGGACACCATGCTTCAGCCGAATGTGCGCACACAGCCCCCTCGCAGGGAAAACACACCTTCTCCTTACCTGTGTTTTAGCATTAGATCTCTGCCGGCTGTCTGAGCACTATGGATTTAGTCCTTGATCCTTACAATATTGTTTGTTACTTGCTTTATATTAAGGATGTATTGATCGGCAAAAATCTTGCTGGCAATTTGTCATCATTCAGGAGGAAGCAATCTGTACGGATAGGTATATATACATACACACGCAGCCCTTTCTCTGCTAATGCTGCCCTTTGCGTCTCAGAGAACCACGCAAAGTCCAGCTTTGGTGGCAAGTATCTAGTGTGGGTACCTCCACCTCGCCACAGGCCTGGGTGACTCTCTGGGGAGGAGGAAGGCAGGCAGAAGGAACTCCCATGCCTGGGTACATGTTTTGAGTCTAGAGAGCGTGGGCCAGGAGGGGATGAGAAGGTCCTAGGGATGCTACAGGGAACAGAAACACTCTGATTTGACTCATCCTTCAAGCACCGTTTGCATCCAACCGTCACCTCCTTCCCAAAAAACCCCCATAAAGACACAGGCAAGAGCCTCTCTGCTACTGTCACATTTATTTGGAAACAACAGCCATTTTCTACACCGTTCGCCGCCTCGCGCTGACGGCTGCAGCAGCCACAGTGAGCACACCAAGCACACACAGCAGGATGAGGGCCCCGGGGAGCCATGGGTTGGGTCCTGCCGAAGAGGAGAAAGGCTGGTTACACATCTGGGTCCCCCAAGTCGGCACTGAGCCCTGGTTCGGCATCTCCTGGCTGGGGGCAGGTTTAGGGGAGATCATCTCCTGTGAAGGGTAAGAGCCGCCGGAGCTGGGGGTACTTTGCGGCCCTGAAGGCACTAACAGGACTTGGTCACCCCAACTGGCCTCACCTGGGGCCTCCACCCACACCTGCTGCCCAGGGGCTCCATTTAGCTCAGTGTTCATGCCTGGTCTGAGCTATGCTGTAGGCGGGTTTGCCCCCAGCCCTGGTCCTGGACCGCTGCTTGGATCTCCTGGATTGGCCTTGGTGCTCAGAAGGAGCTGGATTGATGCAGAGATCCAGTGTGAAAACCCAGCCTTCTCCGCCTGGGGTGCTGCACCGACAGCCTTCTGGCTCCTGGTCCCTTCCCACCCAGCTCCCTTGCTCAGCCCGACCTGTGCCTGGTACGGAGCTGCTCACGCAGAGCTAACCTCTCTGGTTTGGCTTATGAAGCATGCCGTGCATGGCCAAGACACCCGAAAGACTCCTTGCTTCTGTGCAGGGCAGTGATTTTAGCAGCCCTTTTTATAACCTGGCATTGCCTAGACAGTTACAAGGGTCTGTGAACTGCTCCTGCCCTCCCCGGAGGGACATACGTACCCCCCAGGTCCTGTTGGTCAGTCCTGGAATGGTGGGTCTCTGCTCCCAAGGAAGGAGCAGCCAGCAGGTGGATGGGCCCGTAGGAGACAATCTTATTGTAGTCATCCGCCGGCGCCCGCTTGCTCCTCCAGTGCCTGGGGCATTGCTGTCAACAAAGCCAAGGGAAGAGTGATGGGACCAGAGGGCAGGGGAGAAGCCTGCTCCAGGGGGCAAGAGCTGTCCTGGCGGTCTCGCCCTGGCAGAGGCACAGTTGGGGCTGCAGCCTGAGACCAGTCAAGACCCCAGAGCATGAAAGGAGATGGTTCCTGAAGGACTTTAGGCTGCTCCTCCCCAAGTCCTAGCATAAATTCCTCCTCCTGCAAATACTCAACAGACAGAGGGAGGGGGAAAGGAGCTCTCTGGTGGGTTCAAGCCCTCGTACGTTTAGTTCAGGGTGCTGGGGTGAGCTCCTGCTGCTGGGAGGTGTTTATTGTACTGAGGCACACCAGAGCAGAGCTCCTTATCCAAACAGCAGGCCAGGGGAAGGGAGGTCCCCCTGCCCAGCCAGGGCATGGTGCTGACCACTGGGAGAGCTCACCTTGGCACAGGGTTCCGGGCTGTTGGGGAGACAGAGCCGGACACGGCAGTGCAGGAACACCTCGGGGTAACCAACAAACTGAAACATCTGGAAGCTGAACTTGGCAGCAGTGCTCTCTCCAATGGCGTTCAGATATGTCACTGTCTCATCGTGGGGGCACCTGGGACATGATGACCGAGTCAACAGGTGGCAAACAAGGGGGAGCACCCCAGCATGGGACACAGGGACCGGGTGCAGCCCCCAAGCTTTGCTGAACAGGAATATTTCTGTCTCGGTGCCGGTGGGGATGTCTTTCCTTGGCACCCTGCGTTATGCCCAGCTCAGGGAGGAGCTGCCACCAGCACAGGAGCTGGCTCGTGTCTTGCTCTCTGGGGCCACAAGCTGCTCTGCAGGGGTGGAGTGAGCCTGGCTGTGGCTCCCACTTCCCAGATATCCATGTTACAGGCTTTAGCTTGGCTGGAGCCACCTCTAATGCAAGCTCTTCAGCAGATACCTCTATGCACAAACCAGCAAGGTCTCCCCTCTCTGCTCCTTGCTCTTTGCTTCCCCAGCTGGTCAGGAGCGATGCTAGAGGGAAGGCAGCACTATTGGTAGCAGAGCAGGGTCAGGAGAGGGGGCTCAGTTCAGAGCAGTTAGGGGGCTCATCTATGGGGCTGTTCCACCTATTCAATGATGGTGTCCACCATAGGTCCCACCTATGAGCAATGATGGTGTCATTGCTCATTGCTCTCTCACAGCAACCTGTCCTTAGCATCCAGCAAAGAGACACAACTGTGCTTATGGTGCAAGGAGACCAGATGCGTTAGGGGCACTCCACTCACCCCTTCTCAATGAGCTTGTGCCGCACGTCCTGGTAGGGATCTGCATTTGGCGTGGCCCAGCAGTCCTCAACA